CCTCTCCAAGTGGCTTACACAACATAAAACACAGTATGAAAAAATTTACTATAAAAGGAACATTGACATCATTTTTGCAAAATGTGCTACTCAATTAGCGGGATGCCATTTTAACATTTTAAATTGATTAATTTACAGGTGCAGAACCCTTTTTGTGGTCTAAGGGCCACATTCTCTCGTGGGCAACCTTTCAAGGAGTGGGCAGGTGCAGAGGCAAAAGTGGACAGAACAGGAAATGTAAACTTTACCTTTATACAGCAAGCTAATTTCTACACAAACTCCCCTCTATCCTCTACTCAGACAAGCAACATTACCAGAGGTCAAGGACACATTTTAGCCAGACAAAAAACACCTAAGGAAGGGTGGTAAGCCATAATAGTGAAGGGTGTGGCTGAGGAGAGTCCCAATGGGCAGATGGAGAGGCTTGGAGTACTATGTTTGGCCCTGAGGCCTAAGGTTCCTCACCCGCGGATTAATCTAACCAGTATTAAATATAGTTCCTTTGCCTGTGCAGAGCTTGTCTGAGGCCCAGGGCGGGAGTCTTCTTAGACTAAAGTTATAAGCTCAAACAAAAAAGCCGAGCCCTGGTGGGGCCCCCAGCCAGCTTAGCTAGGGCTGCCATATTTCAAGGTGAAAATCCGGACAGAAAAGTTGTATAGTTGGGGTGGGTTGGCCAAAGACGTATGGCAACCCTACCATAGCCCTCCAAGGCCTGGGGCAAGTGGACCCAGCTGCCACCCCCCCCCCCTCTGCACAGGCCTGGTTACAGCCATAGTTCTCTAATGTTTTCCTAAGCAATTGCATCCTGCACATTTTGAGTTTCATTTTTGTTCTTTTACTGACACAGAGAATTGTAGTGTCCTGAAACCTCATCACTTTTCCACAACAAAAGGTCAGACTCTTCGGTTTTCGGTGTCACAGTGCTTGGTTGAGTCACAAACTTATCTGACAGGAAGCTAAAACAGGTTTTGATTGCAATGCTTGCTATGAAAAAAATCAAGTAGTTTGCCCAGGGGAAGGACTTGGACTTTTGCAAACACAAAGTCTAAACAAAAAACAAGTCCTCCTATATTAAGGACTGCACAGATTTGGCTTATTTATATAAAAAAGATGTTGGGTTTTTTTTGGCTTCTTATTTAATGTCTATTTATTTACAAAAACACAGAAATACATACCATAATAACAAAAATAATATCCTCCAGAGTTTTAAAGGCCATAGATTGTTTAATTATCCAAAGGTTTGGAAGAGATAAAATGTTTTTGCCTGGCAACTAAAGATAATAATAATAATAATAATAATAATAATAATAATAATAATATTTTTTTATTTATACCCCGCCCTCCCCAGCCAAGGCCGGGCTCAGAGCGGCTTACAAGCAATAATAAAAACAAGAAGAATGATTACAACTTAAAAACAAAAATAAAATACAACATTAAAATAATGGAACATTAAAATATTAAAATGTAGCCTCATTGCAGGAGGAGAAGGAAAAGAAAAAAGAAAGAGAGGGAGGGAGGGAGGGAATCAAATTGGCTCCAAGATGTATAATAAAGGTGCAAGGCGAGCCTTCGTGGGGAGAGCATTTCACAAATGGCGAGCCACCGCAGAAAGGCTCGTTCTTGTGTTGCTGTGCAGATCTCTCATGGAGGAGACACACAAAGAAGGGCCTCAGATGATGATTGCAGGCTTCAGGTAAGTTCAGATGGAGAGGTGGTCCTTGAGCTACTGCACTACTTTGCCAATTTAAGTCTTTATAGGTTGCAAACAGCACTTTGAATTGGGCCTGGAAACTAACTGGTAGCCAGTTAAGTTGGGCCAGGATTGGTGTAATATACTCAAACCATCTTGCCCCAGTGAGCAACCTGGCTGCTGAAGTTTCCAAACCATCCTCAGAGGCAGCCTCACGTGGAACACGTTGCAATAATCTAACCTAGAGGTTACCAGAGCAGATGGCAGAAGTTCGGTTACCCCTGCCCAGATGAAGGTGCTACCTGATGAAGCTGATGAAAGGCACTCTGTGCTACCAAGGCCACCTGAGCCTAAAGTGAAGGCAATGGATCCAGGACCCCCAGGCCGTGTACAATATACTTGGGTCCTGCTCTTGGCAATCTTGACCAGATCCTTACTTGCTTACCTTCAGCTGTGCTACAGCATTAAGTGCTCAGAGACTGTTTGCAGGAAATGGAATTGTTTTATAACAGTAATCACCATCTAGCTTGTTGGAGTCGCGTGACCATGAATCAGCCTTGTCTTTTTATTATCGGTCTTAGTGGCTCCTCCTATCTGAGATATGCCTTCTACTATAAACAGCTGATGGAGAGGCGAGACTGACCTGTCTCCCACATTAGCGACTCCAGCAGATCACTACAAATATATATAATTTTACAAAGGACTAGCACCAGTATGTGTTTCCTGTTCCTTCTCTCTCTCTTCCCCTTCTGTTTTGTGTCTATCAGGTTAATTGTTAGCCTGAGAACACAGACTATTAAACTTTAAGCACTTTACTAATAAATAATTCCTGCGTTGTAATTTCAAAGCCCAGTTTAACCATGATCAAGGCACATGCAGCTGGGATGGTATATTGTTAAGATGGATAAAGAAAGCGCACCTCCACTCACGGTCTGCAAATGAATGGGCCGCACCATGTTAGATGAACTTGAACTGCTCATTTATCTAGATGCAAATCTTTTCTGCACAATAGGTTCCCAATCCAGTAAGGGAATTGGATTGTATCCAATGGTGGTGTTATTCTGATGGAAGTCTCTGTTGGGTCAGAGGACCTTTCATCAGCAGAACAGAGAGGATTCGCCCATGGCACCTTTCTTGCTGCGCCAATGGGCCGCTCAACATTCCAGAGACTGTTTGGAAGACTGCAAAGGGAAATAATTAAAAATAGTCTCCCTCCCCAGTCTGCTAATGGAAGCCTTCACTGGATCAAATGGACTTGCATTGGTGGGTGAAGACTATTGGACACAACCCATAATGTGCTTTGTTTGATCTGACTGGATGAGAAAACTCATCTTAGGGTTAATTCCATAGCACTGGCTGAATTGTGTATCTTTCATGAAAGTGTGCACATGGTGCTTCTCATCACATCCACATATGAAAGTCTACTATGCTAAATTTATCTTGTTTAATTGACTCACTGTCTTCAATCAACTATTTATTGGCCTCTGCCAATAAAAAAAAACCAATCTAAAAAGACAGACAAATCTTTGTTTTATATAAAACTGCTGGAGTATAGAAGTTTTATTGTTTTAAATACAGTAAATGTGAAAAAACATTTTCTACAAGTATAGCTGAGTTCTTATTTACAGTACTCAATTTACAACATAATTTTAAGAAATGCAGAATAGAGGCAAGAGTCTCAAAATGAAACAATTCTTTGGAATCCAAATTACTGTTGGCAAAGGGCTCAATCCCCACCTCACTATGGAAAAATGTCTTCGAAAAAAATGAAATTGCAAAACATATTCCAGACCAATCCATGTCAAATACTCTTTAATATACATATTAGTTTTTATAGAAGTGAAATAAAACAATTTATGTGGTTAATCAGCTCTCTCTCAACACTGTAATCTGCATTCACCCAAGAAAGTTGAGTCACAGAAGTCCAGGACGAAAAAAAGGACACAAGTGGGAATCAGCCTTCCCATGAGTAGGGTCCAATTCAAGGAATTCTCTTGCCAGTGGAAGAGGAATTTCTGCAAAATCCTTCTTCACCATCAGCCTGAAAAAAGCTGCTCCAGAGGGTTAGGAACCTCCTGAAACAGCAAGGGAAGTGATGCAGAAGACTGCAGCAGAAAAACAGCAGGAATTTCCACTGCATAGGAATCCCTCCTGTGAATGGAAGAAGCCCAGTATCCAGCCCCTAGTATTTAACTTATGGAATTTACTGGCACAAAAATGCGGTGATTGCAAGTAGCTCAGGTGAATTTAAAAGAAGGATTCTAAAAATCCATGGAACCCTCTTTCATCAGCTGTCAGAAATGATAGCTAAACACAACTCTCCTTGGATTGAAGCAATATACCCTTAAGACCAGATGTTGGGGAAGAAGGTTATCCTGCATGTTGCAGAGCAGTATATGCAAGACTGCATGGATCCTGGTCTAAACCCAGCAAGCCCTTCTTATGTTCTTAAGGCTGAGCTTGGTTTGCTACAAAGGTTCTGTGGTGTTTAAATTATTAAATAATCTGGGTGCATCCCATGATCTAGATATGCATTTGGATCTCATTAAGCATCCATTCTTAAGGAAATCAGCCCTGAGTGCTCACTGGAAGGACAGATCCTGAAGCTGAGGCTCCAGTACTTTGGCCACCTCATGAGAAGAGAAGACTCCCTGGAGAAGACACTGATGCTGGGAAAGATGGAGGGCACAAGGAGAAGGGGGCGACAGAGGATGAGATGGTTGGATAGTGTTTTCGAGGTTAAAAGCATGAGTTTGACCAAACTGCGGGAAGTAGTGGAGGACAGAGGTGCCTGGCGTGCTCTGGTCCATGGGGTCACGAAGAGTCGGACACGACTAAACGACCAAACAACAACAAAGCACAGGAGAGCTCATTAGGTTAATAATAAAGATATGATCTCTGGGCACAAAAGCATGTACATACTGATCTACTCCAGCCACTGAAATGAATTGAGAAGCTGTTTCCCGCAAGGCAGCTCTGTGTTTGCATTTTAAAGTGTTATGCATTATTTTTTGTATTGCATTTTTTAAAAAAGATTTGATGTAAATATAAACACTGTTGTGATAACAGTTGTGTTATTATTCCACAGTTTCCCTGAAAAGAAGGTTGTCATTGCTGTACTTGTATTGAAAAATCTTCAGTATTTTTAAAGTGAAGTTCACATATGGGGCACCTGAGATTTTAATTTCCACATGCATACTTTAGCCTAAGCTCATGTAAACTTGTAATGTTAAGTAAATTTTCAGAAAACTACCTATAGTGAAGTAAGATATTTTAAAATCCATCAGTAGGAAAAAAACCACAAAAAAACTTTTAACCGATGCAACCCAGAAGTAAGCCTCACTGAACTCAGTGCAGATTACTCTATGTAAAAATAAAGATGACCGTTTCCTTATGGTCTTTTTTTTAATTAAAAAAAAACACCTGAATATTGCCAGCAAAGTACATGCACATTTAAAATCTACAGTCTGGAAGTTATCTCTGTCCTACTTGCCAGAGCATTAGCATCATAGCCAGATCTGATCTTCTCTAGTCTCTTCCTAAGGCATGGCAAAAGCAGGATACCTTTACAAGTCAGAACCACAATTGGAAGAATGACTGCCATCATAAAAGTAGGGGGAGTATACCATATAAACTGGCCTATGTCAATCCACTTATTCCATGCAAACACTAATGCATGAATGGTGCACAGCAGCAAAGCTAAATGTCCCATCTTGCTCTAGAAAGAAAGAAAGAAAGAAAGAGAAAGAAAACAATAGGTTAACCTTTAAAAATGAAAGGAAATTAAAACAAACTATAATACACCCTGCTGCATATTCAGTGTTTCCATCAGACAGGTGGGGGGGTATCTTCCTGTGTGCATTTATCAACAGCTTTCCATGCACATAATATGCAGGCATGGAGATAAATGTCATCTGCTGATTGCTGCAGATAAAAGCAGTTGCTACAGCACAAGAATTAGTTCAAAAGGCGACAACCCTTGTTATTTTAAAACACCGAATGCTTAATTAAGATTCTGTGCAATTGTTGAAGAATGCTCCTTGTTGTTTTTGCTGCATGTTCAGTCCTATGCCAAAACATTATCTACCTTATATTTATATCCCCACCTTTCTTTGCTCATGGAACCCAAGGAGACAAACGTGTGGTTTCCAGGCAGTCACCCATCAAGAATCTGACCAGGACCAAATCTGCTTAGCTTCAGCAAGGTGGTTGCCTCATGTGCTAGGAACACTGAACTTCTAAGACAGGGGTCAGCAAACTTTTTCAGCAGGGGGCCGGTCTACTGTCTCTCAGACCTTGTGGGGGGCAGGACTATATTTTGGAAAAAAAATAATGAACTAATTCCTATGCCCCACAAATAACCCAGAGATACATTTTAAATAAAAGGACACATTCTACTCATGTAAAAACACGCTGATTCCCAGACTGTCCGTGGGGCGGATTTAGAAGGCGATTGGGCCGGATCTGGCCCCAGGGCCCTAGTTTGCCTACCCACGTTCTAAGACTTAGGTCTGCATAAGACAAATGGAACTCTACCACAGCCAACTTGAAATCTGGTAGAGTGATTTTGTATTTTCTAAACTTTTACTATCATTATTATTATTATTTATTCAATTTGTTAGTCGCTTTATCTTGTCCAGGGCAACTCAAAGTGACTTACAAACGAACAGACAGACAACACCCCTCTATAGATACATAAAAATAAAGAGGAAAAAGAAATACATTAAAAACATTCCACCCACTTCTAAAAGGCCTGGTTATAGGGGAAATCTCTTGCGTGGTGCCTAAATTTAATAGATAAAGAGAAGCGTGCCACCCACATTCTATAGCGGAAGAGTTGAGATCTTTGGTCTGTATCTTGACTAGCTCTCCCTTTGTTTCCAATGCAAGCTGTGCCAAATTTCCTTCTACTGGCCCTGGTGGGTTCAGCACTGCTCTTTGCATATACAAAATGGGAGCAGGGAAATTACTTGCAAGTGTCCCAGTTTGCTGCATCAAACAACAGATTGAAGTGCATCCTTATAAGCTGATTTACATATGGAGAAGGCTCCACATGCCGCATGGGCAAGAATCTGTGGCACTCCAGATATTGTTGAATCCCCAACACCCATCAGCCCTATTCAACATGGCCAATGGCCAGGGATGGTGAGGGTAGTAGTCCAGCAATATCTGGTCACACAAACTCTTTCATGAAAGGATCCATCTTTGGCTCTCATCAATTTCCATCTGGTGGTATGGGAATATGATCACATCAGCAGCTATTTGTAAATGTCCAGTGTCGGATTACAGAAGGGGGGAGGGAGTGTGTCCCCCCCCCCGTTTTTCAGATCTTCTCAGTTGGCAATACCAGAGAGCGAACCTCAAATCTATCACAAAGAGTATGTGTTTTACCACTGAGCCATGAACAATCTATGCCATTTTGTTTATGTGTACCTGGATATAATGAAACTCTCTCCAGGTCAGCGAGTGGCTGACAGATGGAATTGACGTTACTGCCAATACAGCCAGCAGAGCAAGCCCCAAAATTCCTAGAGACACATAAATCTCCATTCTCCAGACATCGTGTTCAATCCAGGCATCTTCCTTTTTCTGCTTCACCTGTGGACAGAACACTACACTTTAAGAAGTGTTAGAATGACAACACAAGTACACTTAAGATTCCATGGTGAAACCCTAGTAAGAACCAAACTGTATAGAGATTATTATTATTATTATTTTGCAATTGCAGCTATCATGGGAATAACAGTAGGATTAAAAAATAAATAAAAATACCCAGTTGGCACTAAAGTTTCCCCATCCAAGCCTGTATGCATTTCATGGATGGGATGAAAGTATCCAGGTGTGTGAACCAGCCTGTATCTTGTATAGATCATTGTCAGCTAACTAAAATGCTGCACAAAACAGGATACGCTGGGATTCTGTTGATATTTTCTGTTCACCTGTGCATGCTACAAATTAGAGCATGGTCCCATTTCAGATCTTTAACTGCAGCATTGTTTATACTGATGTCCCCCCCCCCAAAGTGCCATCAGCCCTAACCATAGGAAAGTCAATTAGATGGAGAAGTATTTACTTCAGCAAAGTTTTTACCCCCAAGGAGACTTGTTCCAATTCCTTTTTAACTTGTTTTTCCCAGCAGGACTGCATTATTTGCTGACAAACAGAATTCCATCTAAAAGCTAAACACAACCTTTGGCAAACTGTAACAAGAGGTAAGCAGCACCAAGAAGCAGTATTTTAAGCAGCTAATCAGTAGACTTACTTGGCAAGTTTTTTCGCTCTGCCAGAGCAGCCAATGAGTCTAGATGTTTTCAAATAACCTGCATAATTGGCCTATATACAGAAATGAGCTGCCGTGATTTCAGTATTTACAGTTAGAACTAAGGTGTTGAGGTGCAAAGGAGGTCTGGGATCTGGAAACTTTCAACAGCAGGCGCAGGTTCTCTCACCTTGACAACTGCATCTGCCAAAATTCTCTGGAAGGCATAATTTATACGAGGAGAAGCCAACGCAGGGCTCTACAGATGTTGTCAGACTGCAGCTCTCCCAATCCCTGACCATGCTGGCTGGGGCTAAAGGGAATTAAGGAGCAACATCTGGAAAGCACCACATTGGCTATCCCTACCATTTTATTATTTTTGGCTATAGACATGGATAAATCAGATATCTGTGATTTTAAAAAATAATAATAATGAGGACTTAAAATAAAAAGTCAGGTAAGCAGTAGCTATCAAAACATCCTGTGTTAATGATTTCCAGACATTATTCATGCTGTGGGGAACTGTATTTCTTCTTCTTCTTCTTCTGGACCATCTGATAATTAGTTCCATTGAATGAACCTGGGTACAAATGTTTTAGGAAATAAATCTTTTTATTTGTTCTCTCCGCTTTATTTGTAAGTTTATAAACTTTAACTATGTCAGCCCTCACCTTGGTGTTTCCAACTCACAATTTCTAATCATTTAAAGGTGCAATCCTATACCCACTTACCTAGGATTAATCCCCATTGAACTCAACGGGACTTAATTCTGTATAGGATTGCAGTCTGTTACACATTTGTATAAGGCCATCATTCTACAATATTCATGATAGGACTGGGAGACCCACACAGCATTCCAGATGCCAGCACACCATCAGCTTAAACCGATTTAATGGCATTATGACAAAACAAAATGGCGTACCTGTTGATATGCCCAGTTCAAGAGTTTGTATCTGTAGGATCTCCTCATTGGATAGCACAAGCTATAGCAGGCATGTAACGATGCAAAGAAGAAGCTAAGAAGTCCAAACTGTTTCCTCGATAGCATCCATCTGTCCAACCATTGTGGAAAACGTCTATACTTGGTTCCATAGTGGAACTGGAAACCTGCAGCCAGTACTCCTGGTAAATAAACCAGAGCCAGCAGGGTAATCGAAACCACTGGTAAGACTTTGTTTATGACCAGGATTGGGATTTTATAAAATGCATTTCCTTGATTAGTTACAAGGGGATGGATGACGTCCCTTAGGAAAGTGTAGATAAAGGTTAACAAGGACAGTACCAATGCTGTCTTCACCGGCAAATGCCATTTAGGGAAAAGGTTGTGTTCGCAGTGCTTACTGGGAGGACAGTCAAACTCATCAATACAGATTCTTTTATGAACTTGGGGGAGAGCATCTGGTGTGCCAACCACTTGTAAATCCATCACCTGAAAAGGAGAAAATACGATACATAAACCTAATAGGTATTTAAGAGTACTTTATCCATATTGGTAGATTCCTTGCATTGCTGACCTTCATGGACTCATATATACTCTTATCTGAAACTGTTCTAATTGTGCATGAGGTTTTGGGATGCAAAATGTAACTAAAATATCAATAATGAACTGAAGCAACTTAAGGCTGGTTCCATTGCAGAGTCATGATTTTCACTGATGATTTTTAGGCACCAAGGTTTATTCCCAGAAGGGAGCCACCTCCGCAGATTACATTTCTTCATCAACCCTTTGTAAAGAGGTGGGAAGGAAATGCAATTCAAAACATGTAAATGGGAACGGAATGTAATCTCTAGTCTTTACAACACATTTATTCTTGTGTGAAATACAAAAAGGCACAGTAATGCCGTTTTTATCTCCTGGACCATTGCAGATCCCTTGATCTGTGGTTTGGAGGTGGACCTATCAGCAAAAAGAGAGGAGTAGGGTTGCTGTATCTATACAGGCAGGGCTTCCATACCGGGATGTATTTCACAGCAGGTGCTGCTTCTGTCAAGGTATAACTGAAATCATGAGAAAAAGCTGTGCCTGCTCAAATTCACTCTTTTACATGATGATAGAGATAGTTCTTTCCATTACCAATTTTCAAAGCAGCAACCATGTTAGCTTGCCCTAGCAAAAACAAGGGAGAGAGCCTTGGGGCACCCTAAAGCAAGCAAATTTGATTATGGCATAAACCTCTGTTGCTAGAGCACAGTTCATGAGGTACACCGAGTGGGAAATTCAGTTGCAAAGCGTGGCATACACACACCAAGGGACAAGAAGATCTGACTCTCTCTCTATATATAAAAATGTTGAGAGTAGAGCTTGTGACAATTCTATTAGAGTTTAGAGTCATGTGAAATGTTGTTTACACATTACCAACTACTCAGCATTAGCAAGGGCAATTTACTGGGCTGCCTTGGCACCTAAGTGTTTGTCCTTGCTAAAGCTGTTCTGTTGAAGCTTATATGACTATATGTCCCCATTTCATTTTCCTAGCACTTTCCCTACACTTGGGAAATTCAGATGAATGACAAGGTCAGATTCCAACTCTAAGGTGACAGAAGATATAGCCAAGTTCCTTGCTGTAGTCATCAAAACCGGATCGCAATTATTAAACGTCACATGATTTGAGTCGAAATTTCTGTATTTTTAGCAATTTTGATTTTAGCAATTTTAATTTTTTACAGATTGAGGCTGCAATCGTAACCCTTTAAATTCCACAGGATTTACTTTTGAGTAGGCATGAATTGGATTGCGCTGTTATGCTCCCATTTTAAAAAGGTACCATTTGTCTCCGTGACTCATTTTGTTTTGCTGTGGTTTTCCTGATAACCCTACACTGCTTATGGTCTGTAAATAAAGTTGCACTATTTGCAAGGGCCTGAAATACTTTCCCATAGATTTTATTTTCTGGGGAGGCTGCAGATAAAGAGCCTGGGGAGTAAAAGTTCTTTGAATCTGGGAGGCCAGAGCACCAGAAGGATTAAGTGGGTCATTATGTCCCCTTGCCTAAGGCCAACCTAGCATGTGTAACATAAATATACAAACACACACACACACACACACTACCAAATTGTTGAAATTCTCCCAAGTTCTTTCAGGATTCATTTTCTGATCTTCATTCTGTTCCATGTTCTTGACCAATGACTGTCCTGCGCTCTAAGGCAAGAGGATCTCTGCAAGACAATTTTCACATGGTCCATTTATTTGTATCATGCTATGTATACGCGGGGACGCGGGTGGCGCTGTAGGTAAAAGCCTCAGCGCCTAGGGCTTGCCGATCGAAAGGTCAGCGGTTCGAATCCCCACGGGGGGTGCGCTCCCATTGCTCGGTCCCAGCGCCTGCCAACCTAGCAGTTCGAAAGCACCTCCGGGTGCAAGTAGATAAATAGGGACCGCTTACTGGCGGGAAGGTAAACGGCGTTTCCGTGTGCTGCGCTGGCTCGCCAGATGTGGCTTTGTCACGCTGGCCACGTGACCCGGAAGTGTCTCCGGACAGCGCTGGCCCCCGGCCTCTTGAGTGAGATGGGCGCACAACCCCAGAGTCTGTCAAGACTGGCCCGTACGGGCAGGGGTACCTTTACCTTTATGTATACGCAGTTGGTACTTTAGAAATACACATAAGCAATCAAATGCACTGTCTTGAGTTAGCCTTGATGAACCTGGGGACTTTCATAGATTTTGTCTTGTCACACAAATCTGAGAATTAAAAGTACACATGTTTTATAAGTGAAATGATCTGAATTCTACACAAGTATTTTTGAGACACAACAATGACTCACATGATCTTAAAGCTGTTTCATGAACAGCCCCCTTCACAAACACCCGAACTGCGGCTCCAAAAGCTGTAGGGTTCTTAACATCTTCAATCTACTTCTTATTGTTCTCCTTGGGTTTAATTTTCTGGATGAATCACATATGGCAGGGCTAAACAAATGAGCATGAGCTGATGGAATCCTCTTATTTTCCCACAACTCCAGAAGAGAGAATAAAGGCTTGAAAATAAAAGAAAATATTTCTCGCTTCTATTGTACTTGAAGGGAGCAGACTTTACCAAGGTGACAAGAGAAACAAAGGAATGAAATAGAATCTCCACTCGAAGGTATCTGCTAGTCTTGGCCTATCTTCCTCACATGGGCATGATTAAAAAAAAAAAAAGGGGGGGGGGAGAGAGACAGATTTCTGAGTATCCCAGATTACAGCTATCATAAAAGACCAAGAGGCATGATGCCAGGATCTATGTTTTGTAAAACAAACCCAGACAGCTTAAGCAAGCGGTATCTTCAGACTGGTGTACCAGACACTTTGCAGAAATGTCGACATCATGATCTTGCCTCACTCTACGCAGATGTTAACAGGCAAAAAAAATATTGCTAGGGATAAAGTCAGTTTCAAAAACTCTCTTGGTAGCTGTTTAAGGCTGTTGAGTAAAGCAATTAAAGAAACTCTGTTCACTATAGAAAATGACCAAAACAAGAATCTGCAGTGAGGTTAAAGCACAGTTCCTTGGTGTCACAGTTGTTTTACACAGCCCCAGGACAGTGGCGGAGGAAGGGGGTGTCATCCATGAGGGGGGTTGACATTGCAGTGCCGCCTCCACCAGGGACGCTTGCTGCATGGGCATGCTTGCTGCATGGGTGCGGGTGCCAGAGCAGCTAGCTCCGCCTCTGCCCCAGCACCCTTGATCAGGAAGTGAACATGTACAGGGCTAGAAGCCTCTGACTTTCCCAAATGAGATTCTTACCTTTTTCAAGCTATGGTATATCATCTGCCCTGCCCACATTTGCCTTTGGCCATGCCTACTTTCCCCTCTAACCTTGCCCACCACCGGAATGCAGACACTGGAAGTCTGCCCACAAGTAAACATGGCTCCTGCCAGGTGGGGGGGGGGGAGGATCCTCTGCTCCTGCCTTATGGCCCAGGATCAGAGTATCTTAAGAACTGCATCTACCTGTACAAGTCTGTCCAAAAGTCCAGACTGTCTATAGGTGCCCTGCTCTATGTACCATGGTTATTTGAAGTACTGCAGGTGAGCATGTTACACAAGGCCTTTGGGGCAATGGTGCCACAAGACACGGGAATGCCCTGCCAAAGGATGTCTGTCCATCCCCACTATTCAACAAGCAGCAGACATACTATTTTCCAATATGCTTTTTCTCATGCTGCCTTTAACTGTATCTCCTCCTCTCGCCCCTTGGCTGTTTCCTTCCTCTCTACTATTCCTCAACAGTAGAAGCTATTCCCTCCTCTCCTCCTGCTGATGCAGCAAAAGGACTGCTCTAGGCAACCACCAAGACTTGTCTAGCAATAAGCCTGGCTTTGCTCATATGCAAAGTATTTTACAAAGTGATGTTGTAAAATAAAACCCTATGCGGAAAGCCAGTGTGGTGTAGTGGTTAAGAGTGGTAGACTTGTAATCTGGGGAACCGGGTTCGTGTCTCCGCTCCTCCACATGCAGCTGCTGGGTGACCTTGGGCTAGTCACATTTCTCTGAAGTCTCTCAGCCCGAGTGTTTGTTGTGGGGGAGGAAGGGAAAGGAAAATATTAGCCGCTTTGAGACTCCTTCAGGTAGTGATAAAGCGGGATATCAAATCCAAACTCTTCTTATCTTCTATGTGCTCATAGCAAGCTCTGAGCACTGATTCTTATGTAGTCGGAAAGACACATCCAAGCACAAAATGGAGGTACACCGCGCTAGACTTCGGGACACCCCAAGGGTTGCAATAAATTGGGGTACTTTTAAGAAGTGGGAGTAACCAAAACAGTCGGTGAGGATTTTTTGTGTTCAGTGGCTAGAGGACATCTGAGCGTCTGTTGGGAGCTGGGAACTGGCACCCTGATCAAAAGCACTCCAAACCACCAAGGTTTTTAGCTGGGGCAATCAGAATAAGATCCACTATTTGACTATTGATTCAAAACTCTAAAATGTATTTTATATAATTGACTTTTTATTTCTATTCTTTGTATATTGTATTGTTGTTTTATTGCTATGGCCGATGGCTGACGCAAATAAAGAGTCATTCATTCACTCACTCACTCTGAACTATGACGTTTCGTGGAAGGTCCCGTTGAGCACAATTACTTTTGCTTTCTTGGCAAACCCTGTAGAAGCCGCTGTGATTTAAAGCCTGCCCTGCAAAGCTTAACCCAATAAAGTTTTGGCCAGGAGGCGCGTGCGTCTTGTAGACGTGTACAAAAGCAAACACCTCTCCCCCAACCCCATTTCGAGGATATTCTATACCTTATGACGTACAGAAGAAGCCCGTCACTGCCCACCTATCGCCCCTTGTTGCCGTCACGGTTTCGTTTATTTATTAAGGCATTAATGAAATCTCGTTTGCACCGCGGGGTGGCGGGGAAACGAGCGGAAAAGCAGGGAAGGCTGCTGGAGGAGGCGAGAGCCGGCCGTGCTTGGAAAGCGGAGCTCGCCGTCCGGAGAGAGGGGCTCGGAATTTCACGGCGCCTTCCCGGGCTCCGCAAATATTTGGCTAACCGGCCCGCCTCCCGCTGACATCCCGTCCTCCCCCGGAGAAGGAGGAGTTGCTCCGAAAGCTCGAGGACTTCTCGGCGCTACTTACAACAACTTTTCTCCGTCTCGGGGCCCGGGGCGACGCGATCCCGAACTAGCACGCGGAGAGACCCAGACTAGCGGCTCCTCTGCGGAGCCCGCTCAACATGCAGCCGCCTACCCCGCCCTTGGCAGCCCCGCCTTCGGCATCTCTCCCTGCCTGCTCGGCTCCGCCTTTCCTTCGCCTCAGGAGCCGGCGGATCTTGCAGGGAGTCGCCGGCCAAAGTTGTGTTGTTTGCTTTAAGGGGGAGTGGGGAGAATCACTCTTGTAAACTGTTGCGCTTGGCGTAAAGATGTCGGCGTCCGCGCCGTCTGCATTTGGCGGCCAAGTGTCCGTAAGCCCCGCCCCGGCACACGACTCCAAACACTCGCACCCCCCCCCATCCTACTGTGAAATAGTATGAACAGACTTTAGGCTGCAGTCGCATTTGCTCGTTTTGCTGGGAGTGAGTCCCATGCAGTAGAATGGGTTTATTTCTAGGTCTCATAGGATCGCGCTGCTGCTGTCGCGCGTCGTGCTGCACGTAGGTGCAAGAAGTCTGTACTAATCGCAGGGTCGTGGTTTTCAAGCCCCACCTTGTGCAAAAAGATCCTGCATTCCAGGGGGTTTGACTAGAACACTAGGTGATATATGTGGTCCCTTCCAGCTTCACAATGTGGACACATGTTGGTAGCCTACACTTTCCTAGACTAGTCAGCATATAGGATCACCAGTGAGCGGATTACTAGCACACCACACAGTTATGGTTTACTCCCACAGTATCTTGGGAACTGTAGTTTAAGGCTGCTGGGAATTGTAGTTTAGTGAGAGGTAAACTACAATTCCAAATTTGCCAGCAAACTACAATTCCAAATTTGCCAGCAAATTTGGAAAACTCAGCAGTGGCCAGAAGATTGGAGAAGATCAGTCTACATCCCAATCCCAAAGAAGGGCAGTGCCAAAGAATGCTCCAACTACCGCACAATTGCACTCATTTCACACGCTAGCAAGGTTATGCTTAAAATTCTACAAGGAAGGCTCAAGCAGTATGTGGATCGAGAACTCCCAGAAGTGCAAGCTGGATTTAGAAGAGGCAGAGGAACCAGAGACCAAATTGCAAACATGCGCTGGATTATGGAGAAAGCTAGAGAGTTCCAGAAAGACATCTACTTCTGCTTCATTGACTATGCAAAAGCCTTTGATGTGTCGACCACAGCAAACTATGGCAAGTTCTTAAAGAAATGGGAGTGCCTGATCACCTCATCTGTCTCCTGAGAAATCTCTATGTGGGACAAGAAGCTACAGTTAGAACTGGATATGGAACAACTGATTGGTTCAAAATTGGGAAAGGAGTACGACAAGGCTGTATTTTGTCTCCCTGCTTATTTAATTTATATGCAGAATACATCATGCGAAAGGCTGGGCTGGATGAATCCCAAGCTGGAATTAAGATTGCCGGAAGAAATATCAACAACCTCAGATATGCAGATGACACAACCTTGATGGCAGAAAGTGAGGAGGAATTAAAGAACCTTTTAATGAGGGTGAAAGAGGAGAGCGCAAAATATGGTCTGAAGCTCAACATCAAAAAACGAAGATCATGGCCACTGGTCCCATCACCTCCTGGCAAATAGAAGGGGAAGAAATGGAGGCAGTGAGAGATTTTACTTTCTTGGGCTCCATGATCACTGCAGATGGTGACAGCAGCCACGAAATTAAAAGACGCCTGCTTCTTGGGAGAAGGGCAATGACAGGCCTAGACAGCATCTTGAGAAGTAGAGATGTCACCTTGCCAACAAAGGTCCGTATAGTTAAAGCCATGGTCTTCCCAGTAGTGATGTATGGAAGTGAGAGCTGGACCATAAAGAAGGCTGATCACCGAAGAATTGATGCTTTTGAATTATGGTGCTGGAGAAGACTCTTGAGAGTCCCATGGACTGCAAGAAGATCAAACGCATCCATTCTTAAGGAAATCAGCCCTGAGTGCTCACTGGAAGGACAGATCGTGAAGCTGAGGCTCCAGTACTTTGGCCACCTCATGAGAAGAGAAGACTCCCTGGAGAAGACACTGATGCTGGGAAAGATGGAGGGCACAAGGAGAAGGGGGCGACAGAGGACGAGATGGTTGCATAGTGTTTTCAAGGTTACCAGCATGAGTTTGACCAAACTGCGGGAGCTAGTGGAGGACAGAGGTGCCTGGCGTGCTCTGGTCCATGGGGTCACGAAGAGTCGGACACGACTAAACGACCAAACAACAACAACAACAAACTACAATTCCTAGGATTCTGTGGGAAACCACATACACCAAACTTCATGGTGACATGCTTTTTAGACATGCATCATTTCGCGACACAGTAATTTAGTTTTACTAGCAAACCGGAGGTTGAACTAACCCTTTTCCAGTCACAGGAGGAGAACGGGGAGCATTCACACAACACACACACATATATGGGGTATGTATGACCCCAGATGGTGAGAAACGGGGCCAGCAAAGCAGGGCCTCTTGAGGAACAAGAGCCAGTGTGGTGTAGTAGTTAGACCTGGGAGACTAGGCTTCAAATCCTCACTGGGCTGTGAAGCTCACTGGCTGACTTTGGGCCAGCCACTGCCTCAACATACCCTACCTTACAGGGTTGTTGTTGGGATTAAATGAGAGGGGGAGAGCCATGTATTCTACCACTAGCTTCTTGGAGAATGAAGCCAAGAAATAAACACAAGGGAAATACCTACTTACTTGTGAGGTTTGCAGAATGAAAATAAAAACAAACACCAACTCTGAAAAGAGGCAAAACCTCCAGGAAACAACAATGAAGACTTGAGTCTTGTGGACCCAAATACTGAGCTAGAATACTATAGAATCAGAACTCTTTTCAGCCCCATGTGGACTTTCGGGGGGGGGGTTGGGGAAAAGGAAAACCAATACAGTAAAGGCATGGCCAAAGGGAGGGTGATGCCCACAGCAGCAATGGGACATTGTGGAGCAATTAATCATAGAATTGTAGAGTTGGAAGCCACCATGAGGGTCATCTAGTCTAACCCACTGCAATGCAGGAATATTTTGCCCAACGTGGGGCTCAAGCTCACAATCCGGCAATTAAGAGTCTCAATGCTCTATCAGCTGAACTATCCCAGACTTCCTGTTCGCTAGGCCTGTTGTGGAAGTGTAAAGAATGGGTAATTCTGTGGAAAAAGATGACTCTGCCCTTCCACAGCTCTGCTCTTCCTACCATCTGCGCCACGACCTGCTGACTTAGCATTACTTTGAAAAATAAGAATAAGCAAATTGGGTTATTTATCTACTAGTCATCCTTGCAGGGAGCCAGGGTGACAAAATTTTCAACAACAAGGTTAATGCCTATCTTGCTTGATCAAGTGTTGTTTTGTGTTTGAAGACTTAAAATAATTTGAGACTTTCTAGTTGCATATAGATAAATAAAGTGAGTTGATGTTTGTTTGTCTGTTGGTGGCGTTTAGTCAAAGGGCAGTTCAAAATATGAATAAAATACATCTCCACCTCAATACAAGAAAAATGAAGACTGGCCAGGGAATCATATTTGCTGAAGCAACTGAATTCAGAGAGAGAGAGGAGGCTCTAACCCACAAACCTGTGAGTGAAATAAAGCCATTAATTTTTAAGGTGCCTCAAGGCACCTTAAAAGGAGTTTCCCCCTCTTGTGTTTCGGATCACATGTCAGTGTGTCCTCAGGGTCGCCAATCTATTTTAAACCGGTGGCAAACTGCAATGGTCTCCAGTCACAAAAAGGCAGCTGTGGGGTGTGGCACAGCACAAAATGGCCGCCACAACTACAAGGATTGAAAAAGGCGACTGGAACACAAAAAGGGTGCTGGTGTGCTCCATCCACCCCCACATCATAAATGGAAAGAAGGCACCTAAATCAGCCA